ACACTCTCACTCTCTCTCTCACACACACACACATACACATACACACACACACACACACACACACACACACACTCAACAGCTGAAAGAGAGCTGAGACTAAAACCTGCTTTAAAACAGCTTATCATCTGTTGCATGCAAATGCTTTTTTGTATGCTTACTGTATATGCTAAAAACTGTTTGAAAAAGGGTTATTATAGAAAAACAGTTAAACTGTTAAAAACAGTTAAGTTACTTGCAGGGTTATTATAGTCAATTAAAGCTACAATGAGAACCATTAAAAAACTTTTTCGTTACTTGAAATAAAATAAATGTTAACTGAAATAAAATATTTTAAAAAACTTTATTTCAGCTATTTGCCAAGGCAACTTTTTCTCAATTTAATAAAGTTTAACTTCATGTACTAAAATAACTAAAACTAAAATTGAAATAAAAATGTATAAAAATTAAAATGACTACTAAAAATAAAAATAAAAAAACACAAGAAAATGACAAAAACTAAACTAAAAATTAAAACAGAAAATATCAAACTAAAAACAGATTCAGAATATTATTAGAAACTATAATAGTATATCAGTGATACTAAAATAACACTGGTTACCTGATAGATATATATATATTAAAATTATACTTATTTTAGCTAGTTATCAACAAAAAATGTCAAATTTTCATTTTGTTTAACTTGATGTATAATATGATAAAAAAATATATATCAACCTATTTTTAAAAAAAAAACGAATAAAAGTGACAAAGGCACACAACAAAATTACTAAAACTTTAACTAAAATGAAAATGAAAATGGAAGATCTAAAAAATAAAAACTACTTCAAAATACTAACAACTATTATTCTTATGAATACTCTAAAGCTTACAGGCACAATCCACACATTGACATGATTTGAGATCGTTTCATATTTTTATTACTAACAACAATAATAATTGTAATTAAAATAATTATAATTAAATATAGTAATTAATTACAATTCACAAAATAATAATAATAAATTTTACTGTTCTTTCAGGGTTTTTTAAGGAAAGATCATCTTACCGCAGAAAGAGAATATGTGACTGCTGTCTTCATGCACAAACTTGCGTGTCACGGCCTCCTCCATGATCTGCTTGACCTGAAAGTCCAAAAAGGAAACCAACATCTGAGAATCTCTACATCTTCACTGCAGTGTTCAGCCGCTGAGAATCATGGGTAGCGGGTGAGGAGAGTGTCCTGCGGTTGACAGTGAGTCATAAACACACTCTCTTACTCACAGCTTGTTTTCTCTGCGTCTCATAATGAGCGCATAGCATGTGCAGATGGACATATGTGCACTGATCATAGCACTTTCACTCTCTGATGCCTCGTGATTCTGATTCTGAAATCATATTCATACGGTGCACTTCAAAACGACACCTGCATAAGGCATTCTGAAGGGTGAGCGATTATGACAGCTGTGTTGTAGAGTCGTTCCAATCCGAAGCTCAAAAAAGTGTTCTAGGGTTATTATTTTTATTTCCATTTCCATTTTAATTTGAGTTAATCTTTTAGTCATTTTGTTGTGTGCTTTCTCATTTTTATTAGTTTTTTAAAATACATCTAGTTTTTATTAATTTTTATTTCTGTTTTAGTTTTATTAGTACATCAGGTTAAGCTAAATGAAAATGAGAAATGTTGCATTGACAACTATCTGATATATATAAAAATTCAGATAACGTTTTTTTTTTTTCCTACAATGACCTTGACGATCCAGATGATTTTTGAGCGCTACAATATGACATAAGGATTATCACTTCTAGATTAAATGCACCAAAAATATTATTATGTTTGCGTTCATGCATTTGACAGATGCTTTTATCCATTGCATTCGAGGTTCACATTTGATCAGTTCATGCACTTCCTGAGAATCTATTGTAATCACAATGCTTTACTGTCTGAGCCACTGAAATGCTCCCATTTGTAATTGCAAAATTGTATTTCAGCTCCTTTTCATTTCAAGTATTTGATCAGTTTGTTGATTCCCCAGAAAGTGTTTGATTATTTCCATTAGGTGGCACACTCACATTCTACCAGATTGTTTAGAGCAAAAAAATGCAATTATTCTCTAAAGGATTAGAGTTTTGTGAACATGGTAAAATCATGTGTTTTTGGAGATGTACCATGGTATATATATATATATCAATGTTTCACAGTTTTACCATCTGATACCCTCATCATACCATGATAATATCACTGTATTTCTTGTGGGATCTTAGAGGGATGGAACATATTCAATTAAAATTACATATTCTAAAAATGAGCATTTAGGAAACTTAAAGCTGATTAATTATAATTAATTCTAATAAAAACCAGAATGATTTTGTTTAGAAGGTCTTTCTTTTAAACACAGTAAGTTATACGCTTAATAATGACTGTAAATAGGAATATATTTCATTAATATGAATTAGTGACATAAAGATCATGAACAAATGCTGCATTTGCATGATCATATGATTGTGATTATCTTTTGATATGATTTTACTTTCAAGTTTAATATCTAAATGATTACTTTTCATTAAAAGTATTTATAAATTAATTAAGGTTTTATATATATATATTGATTTATTTATATAGGTTTTATTTTTATGAGCAATATTATTATTTATATTGTTGTATTATATTACATTATAATTATGTATTAATTCATGAAGGTTAATAACTCTACATTATTAGTTATATTGTTTGTTAAAATATACTTATATATTTACTATATTATATTAATATATTTATTAGTTAATTATATTTTAGTAAAGTACAGTAACTCAAGTTCCCTATCTGTCGGTCACTACGAGTTATGTCGTGACGACATAGGGGGTTTACTTGAGAGCCCCAATCCGCTCTTTCAGAGAAAACGCCAATGAATTTTGGCTAGTGGATTTTGCATACCTGAGCCACTCCCCGTGCATACGGGTATAAATAGGCGAAAGGGGCATCCACTCATCAGATTTTTGCTTCTGAGCCGAGTGGGTGAATGATTTCTTCTCCACAAAGCCTTTCTGATCTCACTGGAAGAAAGACGCTGTTCCTGGTTGGCGTGACGGCACAAACAGCGGTGTCCCTGTTGATTCAGCGATTCCTTACTTGTCCTCTGTTGACGGCCACGAGCGTTGCCTTCAGTGTCTGGGCATCCAACACACTGAAGCTGCATTTGTGGATGACTCATGTGTTCATTGCGAGCATATGAGCATGGCTTCGCTGCGATCTCGCCTCTCTCCTCACGGGGAATGGAGTGGCACCCTCTGTCTCTACCTGTCCCGGTTTCCCTGTCACGAGCAGGGGACCGCCGGCTAGAGCTCTGACAGTCTGGGAGTTTCCTTT